ATTCTCATGTTCTCTGACAATGGACAGGTGTCTCCGCTGGTCCTGGTCCACCTCAGCGTGTCTTCAGGGCTGTGATGGTGGAGCGCACCTCTCATGTAACAGTCCTCATTTCTTATTGTGTCTTTATTTAGAACTTCACTTCAAATACAAGAATCTAAAAACACACTAAATTACATTGAACATATCAAAAGGGAAAGAAAAAGGAGGCAAACAATAAAATAAAAATACAAAGATAAATAAATGCGAGTTACAAAGTTAAACTGTATTCACTACAGATGTTTTGTTTTCTAGCCTTTGTGATGTTTGACTCAGTGTTTTACATTTATTACAAAGACTTTAAAGTTTTCCTGCACATCGTTTCACTTGGACCAGGAACAGTTGGAGGACACTTCATCTAGAAATGTTTAGGATGGAACTGGAGATCAGAGCAACAAGGTCCTCCACAAGATCTGAGAGTGCACGCGCAGAAAACACGAGCGCGTGTTTGTGGACAGAATGGAGTCGAGCTGGAAGACGAGCCGCACGGTGCAACACGTCATCACGCTCACCTGCGGGATGAACACTCACCTGAGTGCCGCTTTCACTCATCTTGGCGCGAGCTTCCTCCTCCTCCTCCTCTTCCTCTTCCTTGAAGGCGCGCCGCGCACGTTTGTCCTCACTTCCGGTTCCTGCTGCTCCGGTACCGGTACCGGGACGCAGGTCCTGTCCGAAATGGACCCGATGAAAGTTAAGTCTGAAAAGTTTTCTGTTTAGAGCTGGAGAACAATAAATAAATAAATAAATAAATCATTTTATTCAGAGTATCCTCAGCTCGTACTTCCGGAACTTTTCACAATAAAAGTGAATATTGTGCTTGAACAAGGCAACAGCGCAGACATGTTCCTGTTTTTAGTTTTCTACAATCTACCTGCTGTTTCTTACATTTTCCTTTAAACACCATTTTATTTTCACTTGTTAAAAATCTCAGTTTGTACACATCCTTTATGATTGTTGTTGTTGTTGTTGTTGTTGTTGTTGTTGTTGTTGTTGTTGTTGTTGTTGTCACTCTTTGTTAAACCAGGTCTCTCTTGTGAATGAGTCCTGAGGCTCAATGGGACTAACCTGTAGAAATAAAGGTTAAATGGACTGTACCTATACAGCTCCTCTCTGTCTTATTTAGAAGACACCCAAAGCACTTTACAACAATCTGTGCCTCATTGACCCCTTCACACAGCTCTGTACCAGATCTATACTAGATCTCTACTAGATCTCTACTAGATCTATACTAGATCTCTACAAAGATAATTGAACAAATCATTCTAAAGAGACTAATCTGAGCTTTATCACAGTCAGACACTGATGGACACACACCAGAGGCAACGAGGGGTTCAGTGTCTTGCCCAGGGACACTTCGGTCCTGGTGGATTCGAACCCCCAACTCTCACAATGGAGGACGACTGCTCTAACCACTGAGCCACAGCTGCCCCAGCTGTTTTTCATTCAGGTTGAATGAAAAAAAAAAAAAAAGGCAAAGCTTTTCACAATAAAATGTCCCGAACGGGAGTTCATGCTTCAGAATAAAAGCAGATTTTAGAGATTTAAGCAGAATTTGGCAGCTGGTAACTACAGATGTTTTGTTCCATTCACACTGTATTTATCCAGGTCTTATTTAACCAGGTGTTATTTATCCAGGCATTATTTAACCAGGTATGCAGGTGTTATTTATCCAGGTATTATTTAACCCAGGTGTTATTTATCCAGGTGTTATTTATCCAGGTATTATTTATCCAGGTGTTATTTATCCAGGTTTTATTTATCCAGGTTTTATTCATCCAGGCTTTATTTATCCAGGTGTTATTTATCCAGGTTTTATTCATCCAGGTGTTATTATTTATCCAGGCTTTATTTATGTAGGCTTTATTTATCCAGGTTTTATTCATCCAGGTGTTATTTATCCAGGTTTTATTCATCCAGGTGTTATTATTTATCCAGGTGTTATTTATCCAGGTTTTATTTATCCAGGTGTTATTTATCCAGGTGTTATTTATCCAGGTTTTATTTATCCAGGCTTTATTTATCCAGGTTTTATTCATCCAGGTGTTATTTATCCAGGTGTTATTTATCCAGGTGTTATTTATCCAGGTTTTATTCATCCAGGTTTTATTCATCCAAGTTTTATTCATCTAGGTGTTATTATTTATCCAGGTGTTATTTATCCAGGTTTTATTTATCCAGGCTTTATTTATCCAGGTTTTATTCATCCAGGTGTTATTATTTATCCAGGCTTTATTTATGCAGGCTTTATTTATCCAGGTTTTATTCATCCAGGTGTTATTTATCCAGGTTTTATTCATACAGGTGTTATTATTTATCCAGGTGTTATTTATCCATGTTTTATTTATCCAGGTGTTATTTATCCAGGCTTTATTTATCTAGGTTTTATTCATCCAGGTGTTATTTATCCAGGTTTTATTCATTCAGGTGTTATTATTTATCCAGGTGTTATTTATCCAGGTTTTATTTATCCAGGTTTTATTTATCCAGGTGTTATTCATACAGGTGTTATTTATCCAGGTGTTATTTATCCAGGTGTTATTTATCCAGGTGTTATTTATCCAGGTGTTATTTATCCAGGTGTTATTCATCCAGCCACCGTGCTGCCCGCGACATGTCTCATTCAACCTTTATTTCTGCAGGTAGTGCGTCATGTGCACACGTTTACAAGAATGACCTGTTTTAAACAACAATCACAGAAAACAACAGTGGACAATCATAAAAACGCATATAAAACAATACAATTAATTATAAAAACAAAACAAAAACAGCTACATTATAAAGCAGAAATTAAAAACAGGAACATCTGCAGGAACTGAACAGATGTTTGAAGCCAGTTAGAGAGGTCAAAGGTCAAGAGCTTCAGATCTTTTTACAAGATGTTCCAGGAAACAGGAGCGGAGTAGGAGAAGGTCCTTTTGTCTAGTTCAGTCCTCACTGAGGGAACACTGCAGGTAATGATGTCCTGAGAGCGCACGCTGTAGCTGCACTCACACAGAGACATGTAGGAGGAGATGTATGAAGGCAGCAGACCAAGAAGTGATTTAAAGATGAAAATGTACCAGTGAGAGAGTCTGTGTGAAGTTAATGGTGACCAGTTAACCAGTGGATACTGGGTGCAGTGGTGGGTACGATAATCACAGCCAGTTGTGAATCTTAGTGCACCATGATAGACAGCATCCAACATCTGCAGCATCCAACTTCTGCAGCATCCAACATCTGCAGGGTTCTTGTAGGAGCACCTTACAGATGTTGGATGCTGCAGATGTTGGATGCTGCAGATGTTGGATGCCGTCTACATTGACCTCAAACTGCTCCTGTTTTCACCCACATTTAACACATTGTAGCTATAAATATCCTGAATAATCCTGCTCAATAATCCAGGTAGAAAAATCTAAAAAAGTTAAATCTGGTCCTCTGGACTATAAGCTATAGATCTATTATATAAAAGATAATTTATCATTAAAACTTAAATGTTTTGTTTAAAAATAAATGTTCGTAACAGGTTTTGTGCCTTAAACTTCCTGTTTGCGATGCGTTCGTGCGCTGTTGTTTCTGTTAGAATTAAACAGGTCGGTGTAAAATAATTAAGACATTTAAATTCAGCCATGTGTATTTAAAATACATTTTAAAGTTTGTGTAAGTTCTTCTTTCTGATCTGGACTTGACCCGGTTCTGGTTGGACTAAACTTGGATCAGCTCCAGCACATCTTTCCAGACAGTGGAGCTTCTGAACTATTTCTACTTTGATCGTTCATATCTCATCAAAGAGCTCGTTTAATGATTTTTACTAACCCATTGTAGAATCAGAAGATGGAGAAAAGAAAATATTTGTTTTCTAAACTTTTTTCAAAGAATGGGAAAAATATCAGATTTTTATTTTTACTTTATTAACAGAATAATACAAAAACATGTGAATTTATCTTTTATGAACTCTGTTCTCAAAAAAAGAAAAAGAACATCATTTTAGTGGAAAATATTTTTAACTGAATGAAAAAAATATATTTTTTACAAACATATTTAAAAATAAATTTTTAATAACTAAACTTCTTTAACAGCTAACTTATTTTTCAACAAACTAATTTCTCACATATTTTTAATCCAGAGTCCTGAAGACTGTACCAACTCTGCTCTTAAACACACCATGGGCTCTCTAAAAATATGTTACTGAAACTACTGACTGCACCTGAACGCACCACAGTCCAACAGCCTGGTTTGGACCTGGCCCTGGATCAGCCCGTCCTCTTCATCACTATTCACAATGAACATATGAGTTTTCATTTATTTATTTTATAATAATTCTTTAATTTCTTTACAAATATAAACAGTCTGACAGCTGCAGGTCGTAAACACACAAACAACAACAACAATCAAAACAAACAAAACTCACAGCAGCTGCAGGAACACTGCTCTTCATCATAAATACTAAGGTGGTGAACGTCACTCGAGAACATTGCGTGGGAACATCACCCAGAAACAAGGTGCGGTCACACGGGGTCAGTCGTCCCGATGCTACAGAAAGAACTAAACGTTTCGTCTCTGGTGACCACAAACAACAAGAACAAAGAAGAACAGAAGTTCCAAAGGTTCTGGTTCCACCTGGTCATGTGACCACACACACACCTGGTCAGACTGAAAAACCTGAACAAACAGGAAGTGCTACATAAATGAGGTGGGCTAAAAGCTAGCAGCCACATTCTGCTCATCCGTTGAACTTGTTTTAATAAATCAAATGTATTTTCTGAGGAACGTTCTTATTAAAATAACTCTTTAGTTCTTTCAGCTAATGTGCTTCTCAATCACAACAAAGCTAACATGCTAACAGACTCAGAGCCTCACAGGTTAGAACTGCGCTGGAAGCTAACAGGATAACAGCCAGGTGGATGGGAAGTGAGCAGTAGCAGGCTAACGGGCTAA